TAACACTCTATTACATGTATCTAAAATTAAGCTTAATATTCCTTAGATATAGGAGGTCAATGCTTGCAGTAGAGCACCTGAAGTTGTGTTGCTTTAATGGATTGTTGAAATACTAAAGAATGTGACTCATTTTTTTTATGAAAATTCAAATGCTGCTTGTAATTTCATCTATTTTTTATAGCTTTCACATAAGGAGAAACGTTACAGATGTCACGGTACATCTGATGCTCTTTGAAATTATAGTGATCGTCATGATCAGCCTTACTCAGTTAGCTTAACTTGTAGCTTTGTGAGTCATGACACCAAAGGCAGAATAATTCCAAAATGTGCTCCTCAGCTCTGCAGGCCAGAAGTTCAATTTGGTTGAGTACTCAAGTATTACCAATGTTATGGAGACTAGTTTGAAACAGTGTAATTCAAAAGGGCTCAATGTATAAAGTCTGACTGCTGCCTTGTTTACAATGTAACTGTCCAGCACAGTGCAGTACTTCAGCAATGAACAAGGAATTTCCTCTCTACTTAATACACAGAGCAGAAGTCCAATTATTGTCAGGAGACAAAACTCCACATGTAATGAGAAAAGCTGGAATTGGTTGAATGATTCTCATGTATTTTTCCCCCATGGAAATTTTATTGTCTGATGCCTTGCTACTGGGATAAATATGATCAAAGCATTGGAGTGGTCCCATCCATTGTTCAGTGTCTAATATGTTGGGTAGCTTTGTTATACCACTTTCAACTTGTACTCTCTGATTCCTGTTTCTTGTTTTAAGTTCATCATTTCTTTTTCTTAATTCCTTTTTAGTTAGGTTACCTAGTACATTACAGACAAGTTTTGGCCTTTTAACTTTTGAACTGAAGAACATTTTCTCTTTCACTTTAAGTTTTGCATAGGTAGCATTGCATCTATAATGTAATTTGTTTTGTAGTTTGGATGTCAGAGTTCTGGGAAATGTGTCATTTCCCCAGTGGAGTGCAATGTTATGAATGTGGATTTTTTAAAACTCAGAACAGTTAAGCTACTGATTGTACTAATTCTGGTTTCCATAAATGTTGGCAGTAGGGTTTTGTAAAATGTATTTACCTTTATGAAATCTCAATTTACTCATTTCAAAAATCGAGGTAATATTACACCTTATCTGGTTGTGGTGATGATCAGGTAAGATAATGTATACAATGTGTGGACATTCCTAGTACAGGGTAAATTCTAAAACATTTTTATTAATTATTATTATATAAAAAACCCAGAAGGCAAACTTTTCATTAGCACCATCATTATTTATAATATGAATGCATAAAATACTACAGGAAAAGATAATTAGTGTATAACTCTGGTTTTGGTTTAAATGAAATTATTTCTACCTTCACTTAGTATCGCATTGATGATTATGCTTATTTGGAAAACAGAGCTTATAATAGATAGCTGCTCCTCTTAACATCTGAATGCTTTTGCATATGTCCATTAAAGCAATGCTGCTTCTTTTAATATTTATTCAAAATTTGGCAAGCTGAATCATTTCACATATGAAAATGTGTTGTTTTCTGGGAAAACTTTTATCTTTATTTATATAGATAGATAAATACACTAAAATTTTAATACTTCAGTGTCATATCAGATTTTTCCATTTTCTTTGTATTTTTCCATTACTAACCTAAGAAATTATTACTGTTATCATTCTATAAAATCATTTACTTTCATACAAATTTCCTCTCAATATGCGTTTTCATTTTTTTCCTTTATATTCTATGTGTAGGCCTAATTCCACTCTTTAACAACCCCAATGTTTCTCTTTCATACACAGAATGTGTTTTCTTTCTGATAAAGGACAGATGATTCCTTCAGTACCCAGAAGGAAATATAGATCCTGGAATATCACAAATGCCAGTACACACATGGTGCCTCCTTGGTGGTATCTGATGTGCAGTTCTAGCAAAGAGCATCCATGGAAATAGCTGAAGTGTATGAGGCGGGTAGGTGGGGGACCAGATGTCTATTTCTAAAAACGCAATGGAACTAAAACACAGGAGGCAATTGTCCTACAAGTTGAGCAATATAATTCAACTGGGTATGACAGAACAGGCTGACCTGGTACAGAACTTGGCCAAACAGATAATTAATACAAAACAGGAAAACATCTTTTATCAACTGTATGTTTGTTTTCCCCCTTACTGTTGTCATCTATGTCCTACCCATTGTTCAATTTCCAGCATAAGTCCCTCTTTCTCTAAGCTTCTTTTCCAGTTACAAGGGCAGTATTGATGACAATGATAATTACCTTACATACATAATAGTTCACTCTAACTTGTCATTTTATTTCTGTACTTTGTTACCCGTGGTCAACTGCCATCTGCAAATACTAAATAGCAAGTTCCAGAAATAAACAAAATGTAGTTTTAGTTTGTGCTTAGTTATGAGGAGTGTAATAAAATCTAATACCATTGTAGTCCACTCAGCATTGAAATGAATCATCCCTTTGTCTAACACATCCATACTGTATAAATTAGTGACTTAGTAGCCATGTCAATTATCAGATTATCATAGTACTCCTGTGCTTGTAATTGAATAACCCTCATTTTCCTTAATAATGGTTCTTAAGTGAAAGAGTAGTGATGCTGGTACTTAAAACATGACAAAGAGAAACCACAAAGTGCCTCCTTTAAGGTAAAAGGTGAAAGCTCTCAACATGGAAATAAAAAAATGGTATGATGAGTTAGCTATTACTGACACAAAGAATGAGTCTTTTATCTGTGAACTTGTGACAGGAAATTTGATTGTATAGAAAAACTATAATATGTATATGGTTTTATACTATCCACCATTGCAAGCATCCGCTGGGGGCCTTAGACTCTATCCTCCAGAGAACAAGAAAAGACTGTTGCATGTTTTTATTTTCATTTTAAAAATAAAAGGAGGAAAACATTAACAGACAGACAGCCTTTTACAAAATAGCAAAAGAACAATACAGACAATACAGAGTTACAAACAAAGTGGTAGGAAATTATCAGTGCTTGTTGTATTTTTTTTTGTTGCATGTTTTTATTTCAGTGTTGCAATAACTTTTCAAGGATGTGTATTTTCATCAATGTTAAAAAAACTTGATAAATTGTGTACAAAATAGTACTGTACTGATGAGTTTAGGACTTGTGAAGAATAAGGCCTCTAAGAGATTGCTACTTCAGTTACTCTGAAGTTTGTGGGACACAGCATCCTGGATATAAAGTTTTGGGAGTCTTTAGCAATTAATGATGGTAACTGTGAACAAGAATAGATGGAATAACCCAGAAAAAATACCTGCAATGAAGGATAATACCTAATACATGAGGAGTGTGAGGAGAAAACAAAGACGGAGAACAATATTTAAGGGGAGAGTGAAGCTACAGAGTAGGCAACAAAGAGGAACAAAGCAGGAGCAGCTGGATTGACTTATTGAAAATCAACACAGTTTGGTGGCACAGATGAAAGCGTTCCATTGATTACAAAAATTTGTCAGAAGAGTAAATGCTACAGATGGTTCAGTTTGTACTAAACTTGTGTTATTAGTGCTTTACAATTATTTTCTGTAGTTTTCTCGTTAGAAGTTAAGGTATACAAAATGTAGACATGACTTTTATAGCATGCTCATCTTATGTTGGGAAAGCAGTGAGAGATAGCAGGAAAGAAATTGAAATAGAGAAGTCAGTGGAGAGATAATGAATAAATTAAACTCCTTAGGAATGAGAGAAGTTGGGATTCAAATTAAAAGTAAATACTTTTAGAGCTGAGAAAATTCTTCCTGTGAGAGTGAATAAGGTGGGAACTCTGCAGGAGTTGAGCAAAGAGCAGCATCCCAACACGTTCCATAGTAAAACATCCCTGCCCATGGCTTGCAATATCTTTCAGAAGCCCTCAGGAATATGATATCCAACATCTTCACTAAGGATTCACCTCTACACATTGTCTTATCATTCATCAGAGAATTCTGCTACACAGTGTGGAGTTCAAAGACATTATTTTTCCTCTTTTTCACTGAATTAGGGCATGCACCTTTGTTGCGGCCTCCTATCTCTAATAGCTCCCTATGTTCCCAGAACATTCTTGCTTTGGCTTCCCTTCCTTTCTTGTCCAGTCTAATATTTCAGTGGTGCTTTTTCTAATGGATTCACCTATGGCTTGGCCATTGTAATCTTGTAAGAACTGCTAGGTTTTTACTTCATTTGTGTGCAATAAACCTTGCTCCCGCTCTTTCACAAACTTCTTACAGCACCAGTTCAAATCCAGCTTTTACTCTCACATGTTTGTCTTTTTTTTTTTTTTTCCAGTACCGGGAATCAAACTCATGACCTTGCACTTGCCAGGCAGGTACTGTGCCGCTAAGCTAAATCCCCAGCAACCCCTCACATCTTTCTCAATCCCCTCTACCCTTCCTCTTTTTTCCTGAGTTTCAACAGAACCAGCTTGCACCTTATTCACTTTTTTGAACCGATAACTCTGTAATTCCTTTGTCTGCTAAAGCTCCCTTCCTCAGATCTGACTTCTTCCCCTTGTCTCGCTGCTCCTTCCTTGCCCAGATATTGTCTGATCTTTGATTCCCCTTCCCTGGCACTTTAGGAGTGTACGTGTGTGTGGTTGAAGGCTTGATCCTCCCCGGTGGGTTATAGTCCCCAAAGAACCTTCTTTTCATTCTTCCCAATTTGGGTTTAGGGCAGTGCTCACTGCAGCGACACGGTCCAGTCTTCCTGTAGGTGGCGCTGTGGGGAGTGAGGCTGGACCCAGCAGTCCTTGCGGCCTGATACACAACTTCCTTCTCGGACGCGTCACGCTGGTGAGAGGAAGTGGTTGCTCTGGTGAGCGGATCAGTTTGCTTTTTTGAGAGATTAAGAGAGGTGGGCACGGACGGAAATAGGACTGAGTGGAGAGTTGAGTTGGGCGGAAACCGTTAACGGCCACAGCGTTTATCGGTCACAGCGTTTATCGGTGGCGGAACTTTGTGAGGTAGTCACTTGACTAGGCCGTAACAGCTATGGCGGTGGATCTCGGGGACCCCAACAATGGCTTCCGCCATGCTGATGTGATGCAGTTCATTAACAGTGAAATCTGCAGTAATGGTGGGGACTCAGACTTTTATTTAACCTTCCGCTCGCGGTCCTGGAAAGAGGTAGAGGACGGCCTTCACACGATCCTGGCCGACCAGCAGGTGGCGCTCGAGCGCAAGAGGGCCAGTACCTGGAGCGCACTGGCCCTAGGGGTGCGAGCGGCCGCCAGGCTGCAGGAGCAGCAGGGAGAGCTGCTCCAGCGGCTGCAGAAGCAGATGGAGGAGCACGAGACAGGTTACTGGGCTCTGGCATCTGAGACGCAGAGGATGCGTGGCGAGCGAGACCAGGCTACAGCACAGCTGCACCTCCTGAGGGCTGCCCTGCGGCAGGCTTTGGATGAGCGCGAAATGTTTCGCAGGAAGCTGCTCCAGGCCGAGTGGTTAGCACAGGCCCATTCACTGCCCCAGGAAGTTGTACTTATTCCGGGAACTGAACAACACAGGGCTGCACAGTGGCTCGTTGGTGCACAGAAGCAAACAGGTGAAATGGCCGCCAGGGCTCAGGGTACGCCACATTTGGGGACCCAGATGCCAGCTCCAAGAACCTTGCTTTATGTCCAAGAACCCCCGAGGTCTTGGGCCCAGCCAGTGCCCCCACCGCTGCGAGTTCCTGTGCCACATCAATTCCCATTCCATGCACCATTTCCAGTGAGAGTCCCATACTCAACACCTCTGCCATTCCCAGCAGTAATGGGATCAGAAGCAACAGCAACAACGACAGCAGGAATGGAAGCAGGTGAACCCCGTTTGTTGCCTACAGAGATGTACCTTCAGGGCTTCTTGGCTGCAGTGGGGTCCCAAGAAGAGGCGGCTCCTCTGTGGGACCAGAGTCAGGGTACACATTCTGAGAACATCCAGGATGGGGGTCATCAGGAAGACGGCGGAAGCCACAGGGCAGAGAAAAATCCTGAGTGTCCCCAGGAAATGACTTCCACGGGGAACAGCAGTAAATACAGCAAGGAAGAAGTTTCAAAGAAGCCCCAAGAGACAGACACCTTGGGGAACAGCAGCAGCTACAGCTGGAAGGAAGAGGAGGTAAAGCTCCAGGGGACAGCTTCCCTGGGTGACAGCAGCAGCCACACACAAAAGGAAGATCCTCAGTGTTGCAAGGGAATGGCTCCCCTGGGGAATAGCAGTAGCCACCGCCAGCAAGAAGTTTCAGAGGGGTCCCAGGAGACAGGTACCCTGGGTGACAGCAGCAGCCACGGTCAGAAGGAAGAGTTGGTGGTGCCCCTGAGTATGACTGCCCTGGAGGGTAGCAGCAGTCAGAGCCAGAAGGAAGAGGTGGTGAAGCCACAGGAGACAGCCGTCCTAGTTGACGGTAGCAGCCACAGCCAGAAGGAGGAGATGGTGGTGCCCCAGGGGATGGCTCCTCCGGGGGATAGTAAGATCCAGGATGTGATGCAAAGCCACACGAAACAGCAGGTTAAGATACAGAAGGCCAAGCAACCACGAAGAAGAAAAGCCTCAAAATCTCAGCAACAGAAGTCTGTCTCACAAGGTAGTCCAGACAATTGGGTCTGCTCGCGGTGTAAAGGTGTGAATCCTTCAAGTCGGGTTTCCTGCCACAAATGTCGGAAGATCTGCAAGCCAGGTGAAAGTGGAGGTGCTGACTCCGAACAAACTCACTGATTTCAGGAAGGTAAGTAAGAATGGAAGCACTCCAAAGAGAAGCCTATTTTCTAATTTTCTAATTTTCATTCTGATCAAAAAGTAACTTCATAGAAAATTTGAAACCAAAATTATTACAGAGGAAAATAAAATAATCTACCACTCTGTTACCCAAATTAACCATTGTGTACCAGTGTGGGAAAATGCACATACAAATATATACATATTTATGTATTTATTCTGTTCCTTTACTTAGCAAAGAGGGATTATTGAGTGTCATATTACTGTTAATTAACGTTTTCTCCTATTTTCTTTTAAATTTTGCAGGTGGTGGATTCTCAAGTTGAAGTTGTAAAACCCTTTTAGCCCCTCTTTTTTCAGTTTTCTTCTTAACCTTTTTCTGGCTGGCAGCAGCCTTGTGGTTTTTGACTTAAAAGGTATGTTGAATTTTAGGAATGACATTTTACTTTGAAAATGCTATTGTTCTTTCAGAAACTACAACAGTGTTAATGTTTGCTTCTTTTTGGATTTTAAGTTTTATAGGTGAAGTTCTGTTTTTGTGTCTCATTCCCATTGAACTTGCTTGTTGCTGAAGAAGCTGAACCTGTCACTTTGGAAGCTCTCCCCATGGCTGAAAGATGTCACGTTGGAAGCTCTCCCCAGGGCTGAAAGATGTAAGACCTCGATTATGGTAGACTCACACTTCAGAGAGATCCTCACTGCCTAGAGTCAAGAAGAGTGAAAAGAAGTCAGCGAAGGAAGGAGAGAGCCTTTGGAACTCATTAGGAGACAGTGCAAAACAAAATAGTTGTGTTAGTACTTAATTTCTCTGTATGGGACAAGAGACTAACTTGCAAGACTTTGGGGATAGTTTCAGTGTTACACTGTATATATGAAAGCAAACTTGATTCATTTCATCTAATTCATTAGACAATTACTGATTGCTTAGTGTTCATTAGGAGTTGAAACTATACAGTATTAACGAGTGCGCACATAATTTTTTTGTGAAATTAGATAACAGAAAGAGCATAACTTGGGATTAATATTATATCAGGAATGGCTTCTTTGCCTTGCATGGGTAAAATAATTTGAAATAACATCCAGATCAATTTTTCCAGTTCTGGAGCAGTGTGAAAGAGACATTCATGAATAGACTTGAGTGACCAAACTGCTTATCATCCTGGATTGCCTTGGTCACAAGTGAGACAAAAGAGCAGTGGGACAGTCAGGAAAGCAGCTTTATTAAGTCTTAGGCACACAGGCAGGGCTTTTCTTTTTTTTTTTTTTTTTTTTTTTTGGTACTAAGAATCAAACTCAGGACCTTGTGCTTGCCAGGCAGGCACTTATGCAGCTGAGCTATATTTCTGGCCTAGGCGGGGCTTTTCTGCGGATTTCCCCTCTTGAGAGTCACAGCTGTTTTTGTAGCTATACACCAGCCCACCTGAAAGATCATTAGGTTGTCCTGAAGAAAGACAGTGCTTGGGGGAGTGCTGGCTAACACGTTCTAGCTCTTAGCTCTAAGCTCTTTCTAGTCAACAGTACATGAAGAATAAAATGAATTCCAAATACACACACCAGGGCCATTGTTTTAGAATGGGTGGTACTTCTCTTGTGAGGACTAATCCCATTATATAGAACTGGACTGGGGGAAGCCCTCTTGAGAATGGCATTGGGTCCCTGCTTCTTCCATTGGGGGTATTATCTGCAGGCTCTCTGTACCCGCTAAGGCAGCTGCTGCAAGGCCTGGAGGGAGCTAAGGTAGAGATCAGGAGATAGGAAGTTAGATCTGCCCTCACTGACAGAAAATGGCCCTGAGTTCCCTAGGAGGTCCTCCTCTGATCACGAAGATGAAACTTTGTCAGGGGTTTTATGATCCTAATTGGTAATAAAGACTGTGTGCACTTAACCTGATGTGTCTTTGTGTAGTGTGCATCTCGGGGGGGTTTGGTCAGAGGTGGCAGCTGAAATCCTTGTCTTTCCTCCATCACGCGGAGGTGAAGAAATGTTCAGTCTCATTCACTGTTACAGGAATCCTCTTCCCAGAAATGCCCCTAGAATTGAAAGGGTATGTGTGGGACCTTGAATCCATCATTATTATTCCTGCTACTCCCGCTGCACAAATCTGCATAGTACTTTGAGGGTGGGTGTCTCAGCTGTTCCTGGACAGGTGGGGCATGGTAGTGTTCAATGTAGCGGAAGCCCTGATGCCTAGGCTCAAACCTCCATACATACATCCTGCAGCCCTTCCTCTGGGTCCCAGCAGGGATTAAAACATCATGAGTAAGGATCTATACATCTGTCTCTCTCTAGTGTATGTCATGCTTCTCTCAGCATGGGTGTCTAAAGATGTTCAGAATTACAGAAAACAAAACACAAACTGGTAGCATAAACTTTTTCTGAGATGGCTGGCAGAGGAGCAACGATCCAGATATCTTAAGTAAGGTGAGTTAAGGGCATAAACAGCAAAACTGATCTCTGTCGGACGAGAATATTTTTTCAGAAATGTGACTATAAACAATAAGTCCCTTGGTTACCTGGGACAAGAATACAAGAAAAGAATGGGGATGTCAAGGGGAATAAACACATAACTATTTTGTGGAGGAAGCAGGAACACACTGGTATTTTGTATAACCTAATGGCCTGTGTACATTAGGAGATACGAGTATGTGCAGATTTTTTTTTCCTACAGGATCTATAGTGACATAGTGATCATACAGTAGAGGAGGAAGAGTAGGGATGGAGGTGGAGAAAGAGGAAAAGGTAGCTTCTTCCAGTGGTGAAAGTAGGGGTGGGCCTGGAGCTGCTTCCCTATAGGTCCTCGTAAAGGTGATGATAATGGAGCAGGGATGCAGATGTTTCTATGACCAGTGGAGTAAAGGGATAGAAAGAAGAGGTCAGTTAGAGTCTTTAAGGGGTTCAGAGCAAGAAAAGAGAAAATTCTGTGTTAAGAAAGTGGAGGACCATAAAAATATTCTTCACTCACCTCCTCGCCCATTCCTTAACTTCGTCACACTGGCACAGTCTAGGCAGCAGCAGCAGCATTGTCTTCAAGCTAATTTCCTTTTCTACCCTTGATATGCAATTTCTCCTTCTCCCGCTATCGAGAATACAGTCAAAAGAAGCAGGAACTGGGACCATATCCTGTTGGGTGTGTGCAGCTTCCTGTCGGCAGGGGTGGGGCATAGAAAAAGTTCTGCTGGTATGCAATAGGAAGCAGCAGCCTCGGTGGCACAAAGGACAAGAACAATGCTCAGCATGCTTTGATGCCCCTAATGGGATGAGAGAGCCCACCTGGGAAAAACTAGGGGACCAGAACGGTGAAAGCTGTTTTTATTTATTTATTTATTTGTTTTTTGTCTTTTGAGCCTGGGCAGGCAGAGCTTGAGCTCACTTTGTAGCCCAGGCTGGTCTCGAGCTCCCAGAGATCCTCCTGCCTCAGCCTCCCAAGTGCTGAGATTTTTTTTTTTTTTTTTTTTTTCTGGTACCAGGAATCGAACTCACGACGTTGCGCTTGCCAGGCAGGCGCTGTGCCGCTAGGCTAAATCTGCAACCCCTGAAGTGCTGGGATTACAGGTGTACAACACCACACCCAGCCTTGAAAACTTTTTTTTTTCTTCTGGTACCAGGAATTGAACTCATGACCTTGCACTTGCCAGGCAAGCACTTTGCTGCTGAGCTTAATCCCCAGCCAAAAGCTGTTTTTAAAAAGTATTTATTGGATAAATCCATGCCACAAAGGAAAGAAATGTCTAATCCTGAACTGGAATTAAAGCTCTGTCTTCTGATAAGGCTAGTCCTCTTCAACTCCAGAAATATAAAAGAGAAAAGATTCAACCATTATCTCAGCACCAGTGGTTCCACTGTTTACATTTTTCATGCATGTAATTCCATATATGTACACATAGGGAAATGTCTGATAGATTTTTAAAGCATCTTTTTGGTGGAATTGTACATAATCTTTCATGGCCTGAACTTTTCATTGTAGTAAAAAACACACCATGGGTTCTATCATTTTAACAAATTTTTAAATTTGCAGTATAATATAGTCAACTATAAGCACAATGTACATCAACCCTCTAGAGCGTTTTCACATTAAGCGACTGAAACTTTCTTTGTATGGCTTCACTTTTAATTATGACATTGCAATCCTATATTATTCTGCACAATCCTTAAATATTATTCAAGAAAAGATCTCTCAGCTAAATTGGATTCCAACCTAGGGGGCTAACAACCTGCTGTAACTGGAAATGAGGGGAAACCACTGGACATGAATACTTATGCTGTGCTTTTCACAGCATACTTCTTTTACCAGGAAGATGACCTAATACTCAGTTTTCAGACCAGAGGCCCAGGCATTCCTCACACAGGAAATTTTGTTCATACTGGCAGATGATCTAGTGGCTTTTGTCTCACATGTGCAGAGATTTTATGCCTGCTTGTCCATTACTCTTGTGCTCAGAAGCTGACCTTGTGTCCTTCCCATCCTGGTAAAAGCATAACTTGGAGCAGTTCTTGCTTCTTCAGGTGAAAGTAGCAAATTCAACACCCTATCATGATAGGCAACATGTTCAGAACTGTGTACTGCCAGACAGCGGGGAAGTGGGCATGGGAGGTCAGGAAGGCAACCCGTTCTGAGATTGCAGTAAGCAGGAAGGAAGAGATAGGCAGAGAGATGGAGAAGAGGGGACGGAGGGACGGTCATCTATATAAGGGAGTAGAGTGTGGGTCACATTGTTTTCCAGCAAGTGTCTAAATGAAACACTTAGAAGAAACAGAAAATCAGAGAATTCACTCTCCTAGGTAGGAGAGATGTAGCAGAACTCTTCTCATCGATCACAGGCTTCAGCCCTTTGCATGTGGTATTCTGCTTTGCCTAACAGCTATCTTTGTTGTGTCATTCGCATTACACATAGTTTCTAATGACTGCTTCTCTGAATGTTCCAGATGTATTCAACTAAAGCACTATTCTGGGGCATTTGGGTGGTTTTCATTATGACCATAGAAAAGTTCCATTCGAGTGGAAGTATAAGAATGGGAACTCAGTGCACTGAGAGATGAACAGAAGACATAAAATTAGACAAAATAAATATGGCTTAGGCTGAGCGTGGTTGTGCAGGCCTGTAATCCCAGCACTTGGGAGGCTGAGGCAGGAGGATCCTTGGGAGTTGAGACCAGCCTGGGCTACAGAATGAGCTCAAGGCCAGCCTGAACTGCATAGCGAGACCCTGTCTCAAAAAGACAAAAAAAAAAAAAAAAAAAAAGAAGTAATGGCTTATTTTCAACAAGTTTTGTTGAAAAGATGAGGTCAATTTTAAATGTAGGCAGAAGACAACCTAAAGTCAAAGGAGTTTTAAGCTGAGAAATATTTGAATGTATAAGTTGAAGGGAAGGACTCATTAAAGGGTGACTGGAATGAAGAACAAAGGTGGAACCAGGTCTCCACGGAGATGAGAATTCTGAAAAGAAGAGAAAGGAAGGTTTTCCTTTAACAGAAGGATGATTATCACTTTTTCTGAGACTAGAGGAAAGGAAGTGAGGATGAGCGTGGCTACTACCTACGTTTTAGGTAGTAGAGGTGAGAAGTGGAAAGTTAGTGTCCTTGCTATACTGTCTTTACTCAGGAAAAGGAGAAGCAAATCTCAGGATTGAGTAGTTGAGGTGGAATGGAGTTGAGATAATTGGAATTAATGAGGTAAAAGTTCTGCTATAATTTGCATAGCTTTGTACAGTTTTAACATAATGAGTTTACAAACCAGAAAAAATGTAAACCATTTTGCAGACTAGGACTATGTTAGGTGTTCCCCAGGGTTATATTTATTTTTTCTATGGAATAAGTACTCTATTTTGTATCTGTCTGTGTACGGAACCATCCATGGAATTTGAACACATTGACCTGGTGGCTATGTAATTATTTGGTTACTTGAAATAAACAAAAAACCTAATTAGAATAAAACTTTTAAATCACTAGAAAACAGTGTAGGTTTAACCTTCCGTGGTCAGATAGGGTCTTTTCAGAGGAATTTTCATATTTTGATTAACAGCCACAAGAAAATAATTCTCCTGTATTAGCTT